GCTGACATAATGTAGCTTTTTAAACGTTCTAAGAGTAGACTTGTAGGAATGACTATTAAATTTATTCATACTGCTGCCAGTAAATGCAGATTGAACCAGATTGATGTGTAGCAATAGAATGAGTTCCCCAAGGAGGAGGCAAATTCCCCTTACAGTCAAGGTTAGACCACATGATTGCTTAGCAATGGTATTTATAGAAGGTATTTTTGTGTAAGTAGGAGGTTGGGTTCAAAGGGTGTAGGCAAGCTGTGGTCAGCTGTAGACCACATTGAGGAAGATATCAGTTACTGAAAATAAAATTTGATTAGAACTCATTTGTTTATATTGCTTATAGCTGTTTTCCTACTATAGTTCAGAGTTGAATAGTTGATACAGTAACCATGTGGTCTACAAGCCTAAACTATTTCTTATCTGGATCTACAGAAGTATTTGTTGACCAATGGATTAGATAAGTAATTCATAACCCAGGCTATTTCTTGAACTAGTAACCTTTCTAAATTCTCTGTGGTGGGGGTTTCAGTTGCTAAGTATAAGGGTGGCATGGTTTGAAGAGAAATGGTCAGGTTTTGTTATGGCAAGGAATGAAGACTGGAAAACACTGATGAAATAATCTGCAAGGTACTTAAGGGACTATGATTTTATAAGAATATCTTTGATGTGAGACTAAATATTTGTATATCATCTATCCTAATGTCATTTATGTCCACTAAAAGTAGGGGTGGTCTTAGTGTAGTGGAAGAGACCAGCTGTGTTTACTGTTCTGTTTCTTCACTTAGAAATGAAACATTCTGCAGAATTTTGTAAAGGTTGGAGATTTTGTAGATACTCACATGTAGCTATCATTACTGCATTTTATGGAGTACCTCATTTGGAGTATGTGTTAGATCAGACAGAATTTCTGTTGGGAACATGTAAAATCCCTGTCTTGATTGCTGCAAGTAAGGGTAGTACCCAGAAACCTTTCTTCGTGGGAACTAGATTTTTAGATCTCATGGCCTAGCAAACAGGAGATGTCTCATGGCCAGCAGTTTTGGTTACAAGTGTTATTTTCATTATTAGAAAGGTTGAGGCTTCCTAGTCAGTGAACTTCTTCCCACAGAACAGTTTAAACTTTACTTTTTCCTATGCATTGTTGCCTTTTATATTCCAAGTCTACTGCCAACTAACATTTTTTTTTTCTTTTTTCTTCTTCTTTTTTTTAATGGGGAAGTGTTGACTCGGAGGCAGAGAGAGGTCAAGAACAAGAGTGTCAGCAGGACAGCTGCACACACTGCCCAGGACAGCGACAGGTAAGTAGGTGTACTACATTCACGGAGTTGTTGTTTAGTACACCTGTAGTTGAATCAAATGAAAAGACCAGTCTGTCACCCTGTCTTTCTTTGGTCTGCCATTCCTTCCTTCATTGCTTGAAAGCCTGAATTTCATTTTTTATTTCTAGGTTATGCCAGTGTATGTCACCTCTCTATTCCTTTCCAGTACACTAAAAATGATCCTGCTATCCATTTTGCACTTAGGTTTCTTTTCTTTGAATTTATAAATTGGTGCTGGTGCTTTGGGGAAGCAGTGAGCATTTTACAGTGTCATAATATACAAGTTGAGTTGCAAGAGGTTGAGCAATATAGATGACTTCCTTGGGATGTGGGTTATGATTTGACTAAGAAAGCCCATTCTGAGGAAGGGGTCAGGTGTAGGTGCTGCATCCTGAAAGCAAGAGTGTTTAAGGGTCTCTTTTTTCCTGTACCTTCCCCAGCACTTATCTTTTATCTTGTTGATAATAACCATTCTTGCTGGGGTTAGGTTGTTTGATTCATATTTCCATGATGATTAGTGAGGTTGAGGTTATTTTCATTCACCTATTGGCCATTTGCGTCTCTTCTTTTGAGAAATGTCTATTTAGATCTGTTGTCCAGTTTTTATTATTTTTATTGTGCGTGCATATGTGTGTTGCGGACAGAGGACAATCTCAGTGATACTCTTCGGGAACTGTCCCTTTATTTTTTGAGACAGTCTCTCATTGATCTGGAGCTTGCTGATTAGGCTACCCTGGCTGTGCTGTGAGCCCTTGGGATCTGCCTGTCTTGCCTCCCCAGTATTGGGATACAAGCATGTGCCATAGCACCTGGCCTTTATGTGAGTTTCTAGAATTGAACTCAGGTCTGTCATGCTTACTTGACAAGCACTTTACTGGCTATGCCATCTCTCTGGCCCCTGTTGCCCAGTTTTTAATCAAGTTAATTTGCCTTTTTTGCTACTAAAGTTCTTGAGTTCCTTAGATAGTCTGAATATTAGCTCTTTCTCATATGAATAGTTTGTATGTTTTTTTCCTAAGTTCTGTACGTTGTCTTCACTGTTATTTCCTAGAAACTTTTATATTTGAACAAAAATCTTGGACTCTAAATTTCAGAGCTGCCTTCCTTAATCCAGTAGAGCTGAGTTGATCACTTCCTTCTTTGAGATCTTAGTTTATTATAGACCTTCCTCTTGGTCTGTATTCCTCAATCATAGCGCAGTTTGTTTGTTTCAACTTTTCTTTGTTCCTGGCTAGGCTGTTAAGGCAGATCTTTGGTTTTAATTCTTGTTTATACTCAGTATCTAATAAAATGTTTCTGAACATTAAAATTATTAGTTGTTTAATGAGTGCCTAATATCCTCCACCAATCATTGTTATAGGCACTTCATTTGCCACATAATAATAGTGGAACAGTATAGTTTTTTCTTCTCCTTCTCTTTTCTTCCCCCAGCCACAAGTACTGGGGATTGAATGTAGGGCCCTGTGCATACTAGGCAAGAAGTCAACCACTGAACTATCATCTCCCTAGCCCCTTTGATTTCTTTTTTTCTTTTCCAAATAAAGAAATGAAGGCAGGGGCTAGAGAAATGGCTCAGCAGTTAAGAGCAATGGCTGCTCTTATAGAGGACTTGGGTTCGGTTCCCAGCACCCACATGGAGGCTAACAATCGTCAGTAACTCCAGTTCAAGGGGATCTGACATCCTCTTCTAACCTCTGCAGGCATTGCATAACATGGGTGCACTTACATACATGCAGGCAGTACAGTCATACACCTAAAATAAAAATTAAATAAAATTTAAAATTTTTTAAAAAAGAAATGAAGGCAAATTGTATGTAACTAAGATCATGTGGGCAGAGTAGCAAAGACTGTCTGATTAAATCTTCCTACAGTGCTTCTGTCTTTCATGTATTAGGTTAGTCCAAAGCAATTGTGGTTTTAGATGATGAATTTTAAATTACAGTCAGGCCCAAACACATCTTTATTAATCAAAAAAGATGCTTGGTTGTAACCATTACAATCAACATATTTTGCCAACGAGAAGTATGGTTTATTCCTATAATGTACAAATCCATGCTTCAGGATTTGAGGAACTCTTAGAAGGCATTTTTCCCTCCCTCCCTCCCTCCCTCCTTCCCTCCCTCCCACCTGCAGGAGTTGGTTCTCTCCTAAGTATGTTCCAGGGATTGAATTCAGGTCATCAGGCTTGGTGTCAAATGTCTTTATCCACTGGGCTAGCTTGCTGGCCCATAGAAGCATTTTCTTCATTCTTCTGGTTGTGGAAGAATTTTCCCTGGGGAAAAAACAAAACAAAACAAAAAAACACATTGCCAAGATACTTGAAGAAATGGTTGTTGCTTGAGGAGAGGTCTGATAAATAAATTGGATAAAGCAAAGTTTTGTAGCCCAATTCCTTCAACTTTTGAAGCATTAGTTGTACAACATGTAGTCCAGCATTGTCTGGAAGATGATTTGGGTCCTTCAGTGGACGAGTGCCAGCTCGTTGCAGTGTTTTAGTGAATCTCATCAATTTGATGAGCATACTTTTCATAGTGGTCTCACCGAATTCAGAGGCTGTAGTGGATCAGATCAGCAGCAGACCAAACAGTGACCATGATCTTTTTTTGATATAAGTTTGGTTTTGAGAAGTGCTTTCGAGCATCTTGGTCCAGCCACTGAGCTGGTCATCACTGGTTGCCTTACACAGTCCACTTTTTTGTTGCACATCACAATCTTATTGAGAAATTATTTATTATTGTATGGAATAAGAGAAGATGACAATTCAGAACTTTTTTTTTTTTTTTTTTTTTTTTTGGTCTGCTCATGAAGCATCCACATAGCAACCTTTTTTGCTTTTCCAATTTGCTTCAAATGCTGGACAACTATTGAATGGTTCACAGTGAATTTGTTGGCAACTTCTCATGTCATGGTAAGAGGATCAGCTTGGATGATTGCCTTCAACTGGTCAGTGTCGCCATGGCTGGCCACTAAGCTGCTTATCTTCAAGGCTCTCGTTTCCTTTACAAAACTTCTTAAATCCCTACTGTACCATATGTTCTTTAGCAGTTCCTGGGTCATGCATTGTTGATGTTGCAAGTTGTCTCTGCTATTTTACAACTAATATGAGTTCCAATAAGAAAATTGTTCTAATTTCCTTTTTGTCTAGCATCATTTCATAGTATAAAGTAAACATAAACAGCAGTGTCATTACCAAAAACCATAAAGCATTATGCATTAAAATTATGCTTAGCATAATCACATTTATTTAAGAATGTATTCCAATTCATATGACAAATTTCAACAATGTAAAAACCAAAATTACTTTTGAACTAACCTAATAGAAGAGAATTAATAATGCTTTTGCATTAATTGATAAACTTTGAAGATATACTAGTCTAACTTTTTTCATACGGCAGAGCTTTGCTTACATTCTTCCTAATAAGTAAAGAGATGTTATTTCTCTTGTTTATTCTCTAGGGAGAGTCTTCCTTAGAGCAAATGTCTTGCTGTAATTATTGAATAGTAATGGTCAGAAAAAGAAGTCTAAGATAGCATGTTTCAGAAGGTTTTCTTCAGTGTCTTAAAGCTAAGATGACTTCATGAATCAGCCGTGAGTGAATGCTGATATTTATTCGCTGTAAGGACCTTGGGGAGAGAGTTCTTTCCTAATAGGGCTGAAGAATTAATTGAGAAATTATGTTGAAAGGACCTTCCACAGGTGTTAATGACAGAGAAAATAGTTAATAAGTATTCATCACCTGCCCTGTGATTCTGATTTCAATGATAGCCAATAAAATTTATTTCAAAAACATGCTTTCTTCTCGTTCCTCAAACTGTATTGTTGTAAAAAGATGAAAATAACTATGTATATGAAATTATGCAAAAGCTCCTGACAGCCACATGTTTTAGTAACTTCCTAGTTGATGTGTCAGGTTGTAGAATTAAGGAAGTTAGCGTATAGACAGACTTGATTTACTAATCAGACAAATTCATCTACCCTGGCAAAACTGTCATTATTGATTTAATGCTTTTGGTGCTCCCCTTTCTGTCAAAATTTTAACTTCTCTTTGAAGAAATGATTACACTTAATTTCAGAAGAGTTTGACAGACTATTTTATGTTTGAAGAGCAATCAGCATTGTTTGAGATAGTTAGAAGAGCTGATTTCATTACTATCCCACTGCTGCAGCAGCAGGGTACAGAGAAATAGCCAGGGAAAACTGATAATCACTTAGTCCTTATGATTGGCATAGGGTTAGTTTTATTGGTGATCCCACTGAGCGAATCTGCATTGGTTGACAGGTCCCCTCTGCAGACTATTTTTGAGATGTAAAAAGACAGTTTGAAACATCCAAGAGCCTAGAAGCAAAAGCAAATTTAAAAATTGCTTTTTCCCCTCCCTCCCCTCAGGAATGAGAAGTGTTATATATGTAAATCTCTGGTCCCACTCAGAGAGTATCAGTGTCATGTTAACTGCTGTCTCCAGCTTGCAAGGGGTGACAAAGGAGATGGGACTGAAGGTAGTAAGAGACCAAGAGTGTATGCAGCTGTGGAAGGGACACGGCAGCGACTGAGGAAGTCAAAGGTATGTGTGGGTGTTTTAGAAAGCTAAAGTTCTATCCTGGCTTTCTTTCCTCTTTTCCCTTTCTCCTCCCCTTTTCTCTTTATCTTGATTCATACTGTGTATGTGTGTGTGTGTGGGGGGGGGTGTTTGGCAGGAGATGTGTATGTGTGTATAGAGGCCAGAGGTCCACTTTTTTTGAGACAGGGTCTCTCATTGGGACCTGGGGCTTGTTGATTAGGGTAAGGTGGCTAGCCAGCAAGCTCCAGGGATCCTTCTGTCTCTACCTCCCCATTTCTGGGATTATAAGCATGTGCTACTAAGCCCAGCTTTTTCCATGGGTTCTGGGGATTGAACTCAGGTCCGCATGCTTGCATGGCAAACACTTTACCAACAGAGCTGTGTCTCCAGATATAAGATCTCTGCTTTTATATATTAAAAATATACCTTTTATATTTTCTTTTTTTAAAATTTTATTTGTTTTTATTTTATGTGTATGCGTGTATTGCCTGTATGTAGGTAAGTGCACCTGTGTCGTGCAGTGCCCACGGAGGTCAGAAGAGGCTGTTGGATCCCCTGGGACTGGAGTTATGGGCAATTGTTAGCTGCCATGTAGGTGCTGGGATTCTAACCTGGGTCACAGTGTTCTTAACCGCTGAGCCATCTCTCCAGCCCCTAGAGTGGTAATTCTTATAATTTTCTTCTTATCTCACTAAAATCATACCACTAGGAGTTATGGGCAATTGTTAGCTGCCATGTAGGTGCTAGGATTCAAACCCAGGTCTTCTGCAAGAACAACCAGTGTTCTTAACTGCTGAGCCATCTCTCCAGCCCCTACTTTTATATTTTCTTTTAGTTTAAAAAGTAATATATACTCATTGTAGAAAATGAAGGGCCAGGAAATCACTCACAATTTAACTGCATAATGACAACAACCTTTACTATTTTGGCCTGTTTTCCTCCAGTTTTTTTCTCCTATGCATTTTAATGTAATTCATCTCTCTTTCTGTCTCCCCCTAGTAAACACACATACATTTTATATATTTATATATACACACATACACACACACACACACAAAGTATTGCAGTATTGTACTATATATGCTGTATACATAACAGTGCTATATATCGGATTATAGTATTTTATACCTTGGATTTAAATATGTGTGCTATAGAGCACAGCTTCTTAAACTGTGGGTTACAGCCTACATGAAACCGAGTGTGGTGTTTGTGAAAATTTTGGCAACAGTAGAAGAATGCATAATAACTAAAATTAATTCCAAATCAAATGCAGAATGAATTTAAGTTGTTTTTGGTAGCACTTGCCCATGTTGCAGTGTGCAGCTTCACTATAGCCTTCGTATTGAAAATGAGATGCATTGTGTGTACTTTGCTGGCATGCCATCAAGACACACCATATGAATGACTGCCTGAAAGCCCTTGGTATTAATGACAATATTTTTTACAGTACATACAAAATGTTCTGCTCTTACAAAAGCCATAATGGTTTAATTATGGAAAGCATACTTTTAATGTTATCTTACCATCATTCTTTAGCATCGAATATCACATTAGTATTCCTTTGTGTGTCTGCATGCATGTGGGTGTACTTGTGCATGCAAGTAGGCAGGCATGTGTGTGGAGACATGCATATGGTCAATGTTGGTTTGTCCACCTTACCTTTTAAGACAGGGTCTCTCACTGAGCTGGTTATTCACTGACTGGCTAGACCAACTAGCTAGTTAGCTTCAAGAATCTGCCTGTCTCTACCCTACCCCTCATGTTAGGGTTATAGATGCCTGTGACCATGCCCAACTTTTTTACATGGGTATTAGAGATCCAGACTCAGGCCCTCATTTCGCACAACAGGGCTTTACTGACTAAGCCAACACCCCAGCCCCCAAATTAGTTTATCTTTGGTTTGTATTGTGTTAGAATGTTTGAGTTTTAAAATTGGTATTTGAGTTGGTGACTTGAGTTTCCTTAAATATCATTAATGAATTTTGGCTTTAGATTAAGAAAGAAATTTCAACAATTTCAGAAATGGCCCTAAACATACATCTGCCAATTTGTGGTATGTATGTATGTGAAGCAGTGTTCTTAGCATTGATGACAATAAAATTAAAATATCAGTCAACTCGGAAAAACATTGAAAATGTTTTGCATCCTGCAGTATGAAATAGCCATTAGTAGAGGTGATAAACATTACCATTGAAATCTACCCAATGACTTTATAGACATATGCAGGTGCCAAGGATCCGAGTGCAACCGATTATGACTAGTAATAATCAGATACATACAGATTAGAGACACATGTGCTAACATCTCACCATTGTTAGCAAAAACAATGAGTCTAAAAAAAGGATCCGTGTGCAACCGATTATGACTAGTAATAATCAGATACATACAGATTAGAGACACATGTGCTAACATCTCACCATTGTTAGCAAAAACAATGAGTCTTTCTCTAAGAAACAGTATAATTTAAAATGAAATGGAGATCTTTTTTAAAGGTTAAAAACTCATTCAATTTTGTATATTACAGGGCTTATACTGAATTCAATGTTGTTAGCTATATTAATTCAACAGCAAACCTAAAAATTTTATAGTCACTTTTGAAAGAGATGTATCTTTGCTCTGGAAACTGTTATTGAGTATGTTAAAGCTGTAATGAAATGCTTCTTCTAAAAAATTTTTTTTAAACCAAAATTTGATTCTTTTGAAAACAAATGTGAAAACAAATCAATACAGGCTAGGGATTTGGCTTAGTTGGTTGAGTTGGTTGAGTGCTTGTCTAGCATGCATAGAGATGGGTTAGACCCCTCTCCCCCAGTACCACATAATACTGAGTGTGGTGGCACACACCTGTAGTCCCAGCACCTGGAAAGGTGGAAACAAGAGGATCAGGAGTACAAAGTCATTATTAGCTACATAACAAGTTCAAAGACCAGCTTGGGCTATCTGAGACCCTGTCTCAAAAACCAAGACAACAGGAGCTGGAGAGATGGCTCAGCAACTAAGAGCAATAGCTGCTCTCACAGAAGACCTGGGTTTGAATCCCAGCACCCACATGATGGCTAACAATCATCCGTAACTCCAGTTCCAGGATATCCAATGCTCTCTTCTGGCTTCCTCAGGCGCTGCATGACATGGGTGCACTTACATACATGCAGGCATAACACTCATACACATAAAATTAAAAAGAAACAATAAAACAGCCCAAGTGTATTTATTTCATTGCTATGCAGTTTTTTTGTCTTTACTAAATAGTAAAATTATATCTGTTCCAAAGAATTGTTCTTAAATAAATGTAATTATGACTTATTATCAATAAATATTTCTTTTACCTATTTTACATACCTATATACCCATGGCAGTCTAATAATTTCTGGTGAGAAGGGGTCCTAAGTAGAAAAAGGTTTTAAGAAGCCCTACAGTATATTATAAACATTGTTCTGGGTTTATTCTTAGACTTTTAAAATGTTACTGTTAGCTGGGTATGTTTGGACATGTCTGTAATCCTGCTACTGGGGAGGCAGAGGTGGGAGGATCACAAGTTTGAGGCCAGCCTGATCTACACAGCAAGTTCTAGGGACTATATAGCAAGCCCCATCCTTACCCCCTGCTCTTCAACCCATGAAACATTATTATTGTTTGTACCAAGTAGATGGTTACTTACCCATGTCATGTTATTGAGCATTTAGGTTTTTCTTAATCCTTCTGTAATATAAGACTGTTGAAAACAATCCAAGGCCTAGTAGTATACTCCTGTAATTCCAGCACTCTGGAGGTAGAGATGGGAGAACTATGAGAATTTGAGGCTAGCTCTAGCTATACAGTAAGTTCTAGACCAAACTTGAGCTAGGTAGTAAGACATCATCTCAAAAAGCAAACAAACAAAAAATGGAAAAAATACACCACTAATCACCATTTTTATCAACAGCTATTTTCTTAGATTTCCTGCAGTGCAAGTAAACATTTCAAAGTCTCTTGAAATGTTATCAAATTTCTTTGCAGAAAATATATGGAATTTATGCCTGTAGAAGTCACCTTAAAACTGTTTTTTTTTTTTCTTTTAAATCCCTAACATAGGCAGAGGCTGCTGATCTTTGATATAATTTTTGTAGAGTGACTTGCCTTGATGCTTATAATCATCCTTGAGTTATGTTCTTGATATAGGGCTATATTCTCTTCATTACAGTTTGCTATTTTTCTTCTCTCATTTTTTATAACAAAAAAAGACCATACCTGGTCTCTTCTGGGTGGGGTCTGATCTGTGCTAAGGCAGTTGCGTTCTAAACTTTGCCATGAAGTAACCATGAAAAAATCTCCTGTTTTTTCTCTGTCACAGGAAAAAGGCCACAATCAAGGCCGACTCCTTAGTCTCTTGGAAGAATCTGAGCACAAGACCACAGGTGAGGACCCAAGGACCAATTTTTTGGGCTTCTGTTGAGGCCTTCTAGTAGAGATCACATCTGTCAGCCTCCAGCTATTTGTTTGGGGTTATGTAAACTTTTTTTGACCCAATCAGACAACCATGACCTTTGAAATTCAGTCTACATCATCTCTTCCTAAGGAAAGATGGAGTGATGCCCTACATTAGACATTATATATGCTATCATTCATGTGAGGCTTTATAAAGCTTGGAGTCAGGACTGCCTCTTAAATTAGGGTGGGAAAAGCTGGGCATGTGGTGCATGCCTTTAGTCCTAGCACTCAGGAGGCAGAGGCAGGTAGATCTCTGTGAGTTCAGGGCCAGCCTGCTCTACATAGTGAGTTTCAGGCCAGCCAGGGCTGCTTAGTGAAACCCTTTCTCAAAAAATAAAGAATTAGGGAGGAAAAATTTCCAAGTCACAGAAAGAACATGTGCCCCAACTCAAGTAGATCTAAAGGAATAGCCATGAAAACCCAATGTGCGAATGTTACTGCTTCTTCTGAATGTTTTATACATCTTTCATGTTATCTTTAGTTTAGTGTCCCAACTTATGCTCCTAAACGAATTGTAGGAAGTAACTGTTTTTGTGCCTCTAGTATTTAGAGAGCATTAGAGTGAATTCGTCAAGAGCATTAGTGATACTAATTTCAGAGATTATAAGGATCACATCTAGTAAAGCCCTAAATCTATTTTCTGGTCTAAGTAGGCTTTTGATAGATGTTATCTGCTATTACTACTACTGTTGCTATTGTTAAAATTCACCAGATGCAAATGGAAGAGGAGCTTTTGCTAGAGTCTGTTAAGATTTGCTTACTGTCTGCTTCTAATAGTTCATTCCCACCAAGTAAATCTGTTGTGCCTTCCTATGATATAAAAAGGCAAACCTCTCTAAGCCTCACATCTTGCTGCTTCTAGATCACCAGGTTATGAATCTCTACAGGTGGCAGATTTCCCCTGGCAGCCCTTATTGCTTGAGTCTAGATCTAAAGTAGATTTATTCAGAGATGGTTCATTCAAAAGTGTTCACCTGCAGCTGAGCCTGTTGGATGCTAATATTCACATTCCAGTGGTCTGAGGATTGGGGATCTGAGCTACTTGAATAGTCCTGATGAAAAGCACCAGTCAGCGAGAAGTGGCATGACTGCTAACATTGTTACTTTTATCTCTCCAGGTGTAGAGATAAAGACCAAGTCTTCAGAAGCAAGAACATTCACGTAAGTTGGGGTATGCACTGAAGTATAGCTGTCAGTAGTTCTGGAAAGTGTGGGCCTGATGCTGGAGTCTTTGTGTAGAATGATAGTTAAACTATTAAAATAGAAATCACTGTGGCGCTAATGTGACCCTTTGCTTTTAACTTGATGATCCTGCTATATGTGGGTTAAGGATTGGTTGGATAGCTGTGTTCACTCATGATGTTAAAGTAAGTAGAGCAGAAGCTATGTCTTATTCCTTCTCTTCTATTCCCACCCAAACCTGATATTCTGGCAGATTTAAGACAGCTTGGGGGTTGACTCTACAGTCTTCCCATGTCTCCATGACTTTAGGTTATATGATTTCTCCAGGATCGTCATCTGTGAAAACAAAATGATAGTACTTACCTGGTTAAAGTATTACAAAGATTATGTACACAAATACAGTATAAAACCCCTAGTCTAGTTCATAGCCCATACTTGATGCTTAGTAGGTTAATACTGAACTTAAAGCCAGACATGGTAATGTGCACCTTTATTCCCACCACTCTGGAGAGCTCAGAGTCAGGCAGATCTCTGTGAGTTCAAAGCCAACCTGGTCTGCATCACGAGTTCCAGGCCAGTCAGGGCTGCATAATAAGACCCTGTCTCAAAAAAAAAAAAAAACAAACAAACAAAAAAAAAAAACAAACTGGATATGGGGATATGGTAGCATGAATTTGTTAAGAAAGAAGTTAAAACTTGTGTTTTCCCTTCTGTCTAGGATGCTCTCATCGGGTGTAGAAGAGGCTGGCTGCAGCACAGAGATGCAGAGTTCCCTCTCCCAGCTCCACTTAAATGAATCTCCCATCAAGTCTTTTGTTCCCATTTCAGAAGCCTCAAATTGCTTAGTAGACTTCAAAAAGCAATTTACTGTGAGGCCACGGACCAAATCAGGCAGAGGAAGAAGGAGAAAATCTTGACTTTCTGGGGACTGGAGGTTGACCAGCACCGTTAATGATGGGGGTGGCCATGTTCATTAAGCCATAGTGGCCTCTATAGTTCATTACTGAGCAAGTTTTGACCCTGCTGTTTTCACTACTAGCACCTACTTAGCATCCTGTTTTTACGTTTTGTATGGTCTATACAGACACCTGTGAATAGCATTGTTTTTCAATAGTCTCTTTGAATTTGCTTATAGTTAAAAGAAAATTTATATTTATCTATGTTTGTATGAAATCTCATTTCAATAGATGGTGACTTTCCTTTTTACCTTTGTGTTGTGAACTTTGGGGTGGAAATATTTTAATTGAAGAGGTAGTTCTCACACTCATAAAGTACTGTTTCTAAATGAATTTCATTGTTAGTTTTTGACATACCACCTATATTCACATACATAGTTCTGCACAATTCTGAACACTGACTGTCCCCGGCATCATTTTGAATGTGTCGAGAATTGACTCTTACTACTTACTTTGTTATCCCTTTCATTCACTGACCTATAACTTTTCATCTTGCTGTTACTCACCCAGTTAAGAATTCTCAGCTAGGACCTAGGACCTTTGAAAAATGTGACCTACCATTCTTCCCAGGAATTTCTAAATGAGCACTGTTTTATAAGTTCCTGTGTAATTATTTTTTCAAAGAAGATTAACCAGTGGGGTGCCAGACAGTCACCTGTTTAAATCAAAATTGGTTCTTTTGCTGCCAAAGGTCATATATGGCAACAGCAACTTCTGTTTCTGTAACATTACTAGAGTACACATTCTCTTGAGCATTGCCTGAGCCCTTCCAGTATAGAGCATGGATGTGGTCTATCCTGAGTGCACAGGCAGACTCCAAAGATTAGAGCTCAGATGGCAGGCATAACTACTTGAGGGAGAAAACCAAATAAAGATGCAAAAAGAGCCAACTTTGACCCCTGCTGATTGATGTTTTAATGAAAGGCTATAGGAGGTGGCTATTGACCAGGAAGGGGTCTTGGCACAGGATACATCAATATATAACTCAGATTCCTAACTTTTGATTTATTATGCCTAAAACTGTCTTTTCCTTTATTTTAAGATGAAATGAGGTATGTATTACACACTGGAAAGTTCATAGGTAGCTGGGATGGAAGACCCAGCACAGACATTAAGGTATTTTATCCTACTTAGGGCCCTTTGCACACAAACTCTTTGCATTAGAGTCAGGATGGCAAATGCCTATTTCTACCACAGATAATGTCCTGCTGTTGGTTGGCACTGATATTATGGCCAATATCACATATATAATAACTCTTATTTTTGAGCAACTACTATGGTCCAGTTAATGTATGTACTATCATTTAATTCCCATTGAAACTCTTTGAGTGTTAGAGCTAGTTTTCAGATGAGGAAACAAAGATTGAGAGGAACAAATAAAAGCACTTTACGTACATGGCAGTGAGACCACAGCCATATACTCTTTGTTTCCAAAGACAATGGATTTTGGACTTCAGTGTCGATGATTTTCTTGTTCTTCTTTCTAAGGAAAAATAGTATACAAGATATGTCCCGTCATCTTAACCCTTCAGTCATCTCCTCTCTCATTTTTAAGTGGTAATTTATTGGAGATAGAACTCTATACATGGATATTGTGTTTATTTTTCTATATAAGGTTAAGGGAAAGTGCTGCTTCTAGAAAGTGATAGCTTAAAATTGAGCCGTCTCGGGGCTGGAGAGATGATGGCTCAGCGGTTAGGAACACCAAGTGTTCTTGCAGAAGACCTGGGTTCAGATCCCAGCACCCACATGGCAGCTAACAACTGTCCATAACTCCAATTCTAGGGGATCCGATGCCCTCTTCTGTCCTCCACGGGCATTGCACAACACGGGTGCACTTACCTACATGCAGGCAATACACGCATACACATTAAAATAATAAAAAAATAGTTTTTTTTAAATTGAGCAGTCTAGCCGGGTATGGTGGTGCATGCCTGTAGTCCCAGCACTTGGGAGGCAGAGGCAGGCGGATCTCTGTGAGTTCAAGGCCTGCCTGGTCTCTACATAGTGAGTTCCAGGCCAGCTGGGGCTGCAGGGGGACCCTGTCTCAAAAAGACCAAAAAAAAAATTGAGCAGTCTCTAGAGAATGGCCATTGGCCAAGGGTATGGATCAGATAGACCAGGAATTACAGGCTTAAATAGGGAATCAAGGAAAGAGAAGACCCCCAACCCTGACAGCTACCTTCAGTTAAGTAAGGGCTGCTTGTTTGTCTAGTCTTATTCTTCCCATGTTATGGGGAGAATAGGAGGTGGTGAATTAGTAAAAGATGAAGAGATAAGTGAAAAGTGTCAGATCAACTGGAGCCTGTACCGTTTCTGATTCCACCTCTGGGACTTGGTTTACTTGTCTGTAAAATGAGGGGAAGCATATTTAAAGGGTTCCGGCTGAGGGTTAATGTGTTTATAAAGGCTGTAGCACAATTATCTGTTAGAAGATGGGTTAGTGGCAGTGGCTGTGATACTAGTTTTATATGTTGTAAGTAGCATTGAAGTGAGGGATGGAAGGGCCAGAGAGGTGGACTGCAGCGGCAAGAGGAGACACTTGTCAGGAGTGAGCACTTCGGGGTGTCTCCCCAGCCCTGTGAGCCACCAGCCCTCCACAAGCTTGGGTATGGGAAACTTAGGTTCTCCTAGGTTGATTCTTCTGAAAGATGGGAAACAGCTATATTGCCACCAATGCCAACTCATGGAGAACTTTGAAACTCCATGAATTTCACAAACTATTCCATAAACTGGGGAGAGACAGAGACTTCCAACAGCACTGTTGCTGTGTTGTTTCATTCTGTCCTACAGTAACCCTCTAGTAGAGGCTGTGCCTGGCCTGCTTCCCCTGGGCAGTTACCCTTCAATACTCCATGTTCACAGGACTTTACTGCAAGCACATGTAACTGTGAGGGCTGCTCTTTGGCTTCTGTTAGCACAAGCTGGAAGTATGAAGAACCAGTGCTCTGGTGCAGCTCTCAGCCAATGAAATAAAAGTTGGAGTATAAATAACCCATTTCTTCAGGTAGAATAACTGAGACACGTTCTCCCTTCTTCTCACGGATCCCTGTTGGGTTGACCCACAGTAGCTCCCAGCAGCAGCTCAGTTATGTACTCTGTTTTGGCTTCTTGCTCATGCTAGCTCACTTCCCTCTCTCCTTTCAAGACCTAGGCCCTTGCTTTTGGATTCCTATAAGTGCAGAATTCAGAGGACTGTACTCTGCATCCTGTCTATCTCATTTTCATCCTGGAACCTTCCCAAATAAAGTATTTGTACTCATTAGATTACTTCTGGGGGACCCAACCTTGAAGTAGACTTGAGTCTACTTTTTATTTTTTTATTTTTTTTTTTGAGGAAGGGTCTCCCTGTAGCCCCAGCTGTCCTGGAACTCACTATGTAGGCCAGGCTGGCTTTGAACTCAGAGATCTGCCTGTCTCTGCCTCCCAAGTGCTGGGATTAAAGGCATGTGCCACCATGCCTGGCATTTGAGTCTACTTTTAAAACTTACCTAAAGTATTGTGCCCACCAGCAGTAGGCCCAAGTAGTCCTGGCATGACTCATAGCTGGCCCTTTCACATTTTGTTTCATATTCTCCTTTAGCTAAACAAAGCTGAGACACTGGAACCCCAAGCTAGGTAGGATGCTATGTGGTGGTGGTGGCTAGTCTGCCTTCCCCAGCACCATCTCTTTTCTTCCCTTTCTTTCAGAGCCTGTAGGCCTGGCTGTTATCCAGTAAATTACAGTAAGGCTAAATCTACCATGTTTATAGGTCTTAAGGAAGTCCTACGGAGAAATTGACATACATGTTTTTATACATGGAAAATTCAGACTCAGGGCTGGCAAGATGGCTCAGCAGGTAAAACACTTGCTGCACAAGCCTGATGACCTGAGTTGGATACCTGGAATCCACACAAAGATGGAAGGAAAGAACCATCTCCAAAAAGTTGTCCTCTGACCTCCCATGTGCACCATGGCATGTACCTCTCGCTACACTCATCATACAGTAAATAAAAAAATCGAAGTGTAAATTTTGATCAAACAGCAGGAAAAATGGTTGGGATTTGAACCTAGGGTTGTCTGATACCAAAGTTTATGCTGTATTATACTACTGATCTTCATTTGAGTCACAAAACTGGTGAGTCTGGAAATGTGAGCTTTGGATGGGTTCCTTCTTCCTGTGAGGCAGGGTAGCTTTGGCTTTAAGTTCATTTTAGCCAATAAGAATTTTGGGAAATGGGTAGTAAATTGATGGGAGGGTTGGTAGGTTAGCAGTGGGAAGATGGAATATTGGGGACACCCAAGTGGGAAGAGTGCTGAAAGCATATGCACCAGAAAGGAAGTGAGGTTACTTATCTCCTTGCTGTTTTGAAAGCCCTAGACTATTGAGGTTGTGGGAGGACTCTTCAGCTGAACCAAAATTAACTGATACCTATTCCATATCAGGTCTAGAACCTGGCTTTGAGGCTCTAAAGAAACATCTGAGAGCCCACAGTTGAGTGGGTAAGGTGCACACAGGTGATTGTAATAAACTTGTAAGTGCAGTGGGCAGGCTCCCACCTGGGGTCAGAGCTGGCATAAACTTGTTGGGAAAGGGATCCGCACTGCCACTGATAGCTGAACTTACAAAGATGAGAGGAAATAGATGAAAAGATTAGAGAGGCCGGTGGTGGTGGTAGTGTTGGTGGTGTCATTCTAGACCATTGAGCATGAACAAAGACAAAACAGAAGCAGCTCAATGCTTGTGAGAAAGCTGCAAGGCATATCCAAAATATTAAGGGCGTGGAAGATGGTGGGGGAGCTGACTAGGGGCTTGCTTGCCTGGCTGTGGGCATTATAGGCTGAGAGGAGCAAGCTCGGAGCAGAAAGGGCCTGGCCTCCAGCCCAGCAGTGATATAGCTTCACTGCACTCACCTCTCCTCATTCTGAAGGCTACAGTAAGGGGCAATGAGGGGATTTTGTCAGGACTTCTCTTTTCCTTGGCCACTGGCCATCTGGTATTGCTGGCCACTGTTGTGCCTCTGCTCCAGTCAGGGCTGGTCTTAGCTGTTCATAGACTTCACACCCCACTAGCTTTTCTCCTCCACTTGCCTTGACCTAGGAGGGCCCTGGCACTGTGACTAGGGGGCCAGGACACCTACATCCTGGTGAAATGAAAACAGGACTTCCAGAATAACCGACAAGAGTCCTGGCAATACCACCTCATCCTGACTCGAGACTCAGCTGTCCTCTGTGTTACATACAGGAGGGCCTTGTACATTCAGTTCTGTAGTCTCCTTCAACTAAACAAAGTCAAGAGACTGGAACCTCATACTAGACCAGACACTGTTGTGGGTGATGGCCAGTTTACCTTCCTCAGCACTACCTTTTACTTCTCTTTCAGAGCCTGTCTGCCTGGTTGTATCCAGTGAACTACAGCAGGGCTAATGTCTGCCATGGTTATAGGTGTAATAACAATGCTGCTATAGAAGCCACCAGCAGTGCTCTCTATCCTGTCATGTGGAGGCCTTGTACTATCTGGATAATGGAAGTTACTGCTGATGTATAGCCTTAAGTTTTAATGTGCCCACCAGTTTGCCTGAAATTACAGCAGGCACTTGGAAGCATCTTTTGTTAGGCTTTGGGTCTGACTCATGCTTAACTGCATAGGCATGCTAATCACTCAGAGTGTTATGTTTCCCTAACCTTCCTTCAAGGTTGAAGGCACAAAGATAACTCATTGTCCTAAGCCAGCAGTCATTTTAGATTCTGGAAACAGCAAAGTCTGGCAGGACCCCCCCCCAAGTAGTAAGGACAAAACTGTGATGCAGAGGTTTTCTAGTTTGGTTTCTGTTGCTTTGACAAACATCATGAGCAAAAGCAACTTCTGGAGGAAAGGGTTTATTTCTTACAAGTCCCAGGTCATGCTGGGTGTGGTGGCACACACCTTTAATTCCAGCAGAGAAGCAGGTGGATCTCTTGAGATTGTGGCCAGCCTGGTCTACATAGCCAGTTCCAAGCTAGCAAGGGTTACAGGGACACCCTGTCTCAAAAAGACAGAAAAAAAAAAAAAATCCATGAAGCAGAAACCATTGAGGAGCACTGCTTATTGACTTTCTCTGGCCTATGTTCAGCCTGCTTTCTTATAGGAACTAGGTCCACCTGCCCAGGGGTGGCACCACTCATGGTGGACTGGGCCCTCCCACATCGTTCAACAATCAAGAAAATGCCCCACAGACATGCCCACAGGCCAATCTAATGATGCAGTGTCTCAACTGAGGCTCCTTCCTCCCAGTGCTTGGTCTACACATTCAAGTAGACTAATTCAATGGAAAAGCAGCTCAGTAACAAGTACCTCCTCAGAAGCCTAAAAATCCCTGTCTCCAGTAGGGAAGACCTCCAGTACGAGCCGCCTCACCCCACCTTGGCCTACAGACTAAAGGCTAGACTCCTGAGTTTGGCTGTTACCACTTCAACCATGTATCCCACCTATGAGTATCCTTACTAGACCCTGAGAGCCAGAGTCCATTCTGTGAAGGTGCCCGTGTGTGTGGCCCTTGGCTGCATACAATGCTCTTCTTTGTGAAAGGCCCACCTCTGTCGATGTGTTTTTCTTCCTTCAAGGCTCAGCTTCCTCAGCTTGCCCTGCCCACTCTCCTGCAGAGTCAGACCCTTCCTCTTATGCTCCCACATTGCCTCTTGCACAGTTGTACTTAGCACATTTTGAAAAGTTGTCTATTGCAACTTTTATTTGCAGGGCAGTTTTACTTCTGCAAGTAGAGATAGAGTGCTCAGTCGTTTCCATTTCTTTACAAGGAACTACCACTTCAAAGCATTTATAGTGTTTATAAACGTTCAAAGTGTTTATAAAATAAACAGAGCTCCTAGTATTGCAGAGGGAATATTTTGGAATCCTTGACCCAACTGGGGCGTCTCCAGCTTCCTGTGATCATCTTGCTTGTTTGCACAATGTTTCTGCCCACCCCTGGTGCCTCTTAGAGCAAAATTGGAAGGAAGTACTCCTTCCTGAATTAGAATGTGTCTGGTTAGTGGTGGTGGAAGAAGGCGGAACTTGAGCACAGTTATAACTTGTCACCCCTGAGTTTCGCTTTTGAGTACAGACCAGGTCACTGGTGCCTCACATTTGGAGGAGTTGAGACCTGAGGAGGGTAATCAACTGTTGCGTCTTCAAGGTAAGTGCTTTCTTTAATTCCTACTTGCCTCATCTCAAATCCTCTTGTCCTTATCTGTCTTCCTTGGCATCCCCTATAGCAAGCAGAGGCTAGCAAGACTATGCCACTAATCCTCGATGGTGATCATAGTACCCAGCTTCAGGAGGGGTTTCTGGGATACCATTCAGAAGGGGCACACATTCCAAGTAGCTGATTCAGCTAGGGGAAGCCCTTAGTTCAAACATGGGCAGCCACTGGGCTGGTTTCTAGTGATGGAGCAATGAGGGAGATGTGTGCCTCCCTACAGGAAGAGACAGGTGCAAATACATTGACCTAGAGTTTAAATGCTGGGGTCCCTTGGAGGGAGCTTCACAGTTCTGGCATGTGCTGCATAAATGTTGAATGCATGGACAGATGAGTAAGTGAATGATTAACCTAGCTTTCTAAAGCTAAAGGTAACTAACTGCCTTAGTTACCCCCATTTTATTCTTGAAACAGACCACTTACATTTATAGAGCGAACTATATTCCTCTCTGACAGATCTGAAAACTAAACATTGGTAAATGTAACTTATGTATGTGTCGGGGGGGATTAGTTAGAAACTGATTTCTTGGTTCACCTCCTTTCTTTTGTTTTCTTTTTGTTTTGGAGACAGGTTCTTGCTATGTACCCCAGGCTGTCTCCTGTCTCAGCTTTCCAAGTGCTGGGATTACAGGCATGAGCTCCAGACCTAATGTCCTACTTCTTATTTGCCCAAACCTGTCCTGGTAGTGAAGATGCAGAGGTTACTCAGACATCATAGTGTCATGAGACCAACCCTCCAGACGTGGGGAACAACTTGAAGACAACAGGAGATAGAGTTTGTAGTCAGTGTGGCTGGAGTTTGGAGTGAGGAGTAGCAAGAGGATGCTTAGGTTGAGGACACTGAGGGTTCTGTAACACCACCACAGAGTTCTGATCCTTCTGAATGGAGAGCCATCACACTGTGAAGATTTGCTTCCTTTTTTAGGGGAGAACTTAAGAATGACATGGCAAAAATCTATTTTAGTAGTCATGCAATATGCTGGGAGTTGTGTAAGGCAAGGAGAATGGCAGACTTCTATTAGAAGCAGAGATATCACTTAGGGGGTTGTTGGAATAATCAGACAGTAGTTGTGGAGACAGGGAAGAGATGGCAGGTGAGAGTTCCTTTCCAGAGCCCCAGTTAAGTCAGAGATGGCTGTTCCCTTCAGATTCCAGCTACACTGACTATAAGGTCCCTGTCTCCTGCTTTCTAGTCTTCATTCAAGTTGTTCCCCAAGACTAGAAGGATAGCCTCACAAGCCCCTTCTACCTTGTAGAGAAGAGGCAGGTGTTTATACTGGTAACCCAAATGGCTATGTGAAGGAGCAAACCTCTTGATGCTTCCAGTCAGGGTGGAGGGCAGTTCTGTGGAATAGTGGGGAAAATGACTCTGTCTTTGACAGCTGAGTTCAATAAGTCACTCCTGCACCTGGATAATGAGATCTAATAGACTACCAAGATTAGGAATTGGCTAAGGTCAGTGGTTGAATTGGGAGCCCTGACACAGATTTTAATACAACCTGAGGGATGGGTGAAAAAGAAGGGGATAGAGAAAGGCATAACCAGAAGCATGGGGACCTTGTTATTTAAAGGCAGAGAAGTATTACTGATGAAGACTGAGACCCAGGAAAAACAGGTAGGAGAGACTGCTGGAGCCAAGAAACAAGAGAATGTGGGAGCACAGGGACTGCAAAGTCGGGATTGCACAGAAGGGGAGAAGTTGCAGGGGTCAAAGATGGTGTTTCCAGTTTTACTTCTGCAAGTAGAGCTAGAGTGCTCAGTGGAGCATTGTACCATCTTGGCCCGTCTGCTGTATTTCCCTTCTTCACCCCAGCATGCCATCGGAACCATTGCAGGTCCCAGAACTCGAGGACTGCCTAGAATGGCAGTAACAGTAGTAGCAGTAGCTTGGGTTAGCCAAATACCTGACATTTCTTCAGCGTTTTATAGTTGCAAAGAATCACCAGCTTCTGAAATCCTTTATAGTTTTTTCAATGTGATTAAAGAGGAAATTGAGGCTTATCAGACTCTGCTAAATAGTGAACCTACCCACAAAAATAAGATCGTTTTGGTCTCATCTCACTTGCCCTATTGCAGTCCTCTGACATGATTGTCCCCATTTCACAGATGAAGAAAATGAGGCATTAAGGTTGGGAGATCTGGTGCAGCTGCCTTGTAGAGAACTGGGTCCCTGGCTGTAAGCACAGTGCTCTTCCACTCTGCTTCACTACACTTTCCAGAACCCACCCACTGCATTACGCAAAGCACCTCCCAGGCTTTATGTTGTTCAGTGCTTGTAAAAGCACTGTGAGGGTAGATATTACTTTCTCCTGCTTTACAGGTGATGAAGCTGAAATTCAAAGTCACCAATGATCATCCAATTCGTGGATGCCATTAATACATCCCCTTTCTGAAACACATACTCATTTTCTAAAGTACAGACCCCTTTCTATATTTCTCATGTTTTTCATCTTCAGGGTGAAACTCACATGCTTGAGCTTGTCATAAAAGCTAGTCTGCCTGTTTCTATGGCATACTTCTGGCCCCTTCTTACTTTACACTCTTTGACCTCTAGCATGTTCCTGACCTTCCAATCATAGCAGCACAATTACCCACATACTCATCTCTGTCACTGAGTGCCAGTCCTGTTGTGATGGTTGATGAGGCTTGGAAATCCCTGAGGGCAAGGCCTGCATCTGCTTGACTTGCACTCCAGCATCCTGTACTGTGGGCATTAGGAACCAGTGGATCTGAGTGAATAATACCTGAACCCAGAACTGCTTTCCCAAAGCTCTCTTGTTACTCATGTTTCTGGAAAATAGCTGCCTCCTAGTTCATTACTAATGGCTCTTTGATGGTCTGAAGTTTTGAATTCTGCTTACAACTTCCTTCTTGGTCCCCTTCAGAAGGAAAGTAGTTGTGGGTCTGGGTTATTGCCTCTTGGAGCCTATAGATTAAGTGTTCTTGAATCCAGATAATTTTTTTTATTCCTATAGGTAGCCAATGCTCATTGTGAATACATGGACACCATTGCACCTTCTGGTTTACAGCCTGAGGAAAGAGCCTCAAGCTGCCTACAGGAGGATGTGCCCTCAGATAGCTCAGAACTGGTAAGTTTAGCACCAGGTTCCCATTTTATGCTTATTTAAGGCTGTCAAGGATAGGATGACTGGAGATACTCCATGGGTTACTGGGCTCACACCCTTGTGGCCTCTTTCCAATTTACTGAGCTGTTAGTCTCCAATCTGGTACCTCTTTTCTTTGAGACTCCAAATAATTGCAAGGTGGGGATTAATTTGGGGGCTTAGACAGGTAAAGTGACTTGCATTTAAGGCAATATAGGAGTTTGAACTGAGTAAACATACCACTTTTGCCAGCTTGCCACACAGGTTGCTGCACCTGCCCCAAGTAGGTTGACATGTCCAGAATGGGCCCACCTCATTTTCCTTAAAAAAGTATTCTCCTATAAAGAGCTTACACTTTCGCTATCAATTACAATGCACTTATTCATCACAAAAAGAAAAAAAACATGACAGAATTGAAACTTTAAATAAATTACCTTTATAACCTCTTTCCATGACTCATGTGCCATTTTGTCTGCATTCCATCTCTCATCATCTAATAATACCCTTTCTTCGTCTTCTTTCTAAATGTTGTACTAGACCCACATCTATTCCTGTTTTCATATATATATATATATGTCTCATACATATATTTATGCATTATAGACTAGAGAGCTGTGTTCTTGCACTCAGGTACCAGGAATCATAGTGCTAAACTGTTTTCAGAAATTCTTTAACAACACAGGCTGTATGACTGAGATTTGCTTAGAAGTATATTTCTCTGCCCTTACCTTTTATCCTCTTTTTAATTTTATTTATTTATCCAGGTGGTGTAAGGATTGAATCCAGAGCCTCATACATGCTAGGCAAGTGTTCTACCACTGAGCTACATCCCCAGACTTCCCTTCATCTTGACTAATATTTAGAAGTCCTTGCCCACCACACCCTGGAACAGAAAATGCTTGTGTAAATTATTTCATAACTCTTAGCCTCCATTTCCTCATCAGAAAAATGGAGGAAAATAAAGTTGAGTGTTAAGAGCTCATGGAGATAAAGGACCTGCACAGAGACAAAGCCCATAAGAGGGTTCTTGAATCATTCCCTTCAGTTTCTGTAGTTTTCTGCCTTGTTCTGACATCTGCATCCTAGGCTTATTGTCCAGTTGTGGTGGCATTGCTCTGACTAAATTTCATACACAGGCACATGACCCTTCTCCTTTGTGCAACCTGAACCTCAGACCCTGCTGTAAACGTTTCCTTTGTGTTCAGCCCATAGCCAGGCCCAGGAATGAGCAATGACTGCCTTGCCAGGGCGTGCTCTAGAGCCTGCCATCATCTCCCTTCTCACTTTGTTGTATGCTCCTGCAGTTTAAAGAATTCTTTGGCTTTTGGGGATTTCCACAGGGATACCAAATATCCTATAGCTTGGGACCCCCACACAGCACCCCAGGCCTCACTTTGGGATCCCTTTCTATAGCCTTAAGTTCACATGTTTTCAGTGTCCAGCCCCATCTGAGTCCCTTGCCAGACCTTTTCATAAGTCTCTGTCACCAGAGGGTGTAGAATAAAACCCTCTATGATATTTGTATCTCATGCTCTGAAGAAAAGGAACCTACACTCCACTGAGCTTTTCCTTTGGCTCAGACACCATTCCCATGCTGCTTCTTAGTCCTCACAGTGTCTTTGGGAAGGGGCACGATTACTGTTTCCACTTGATAGAGGGAGTCATTTGCTCAAACAGGTGAGGTGATGTGTCCAGACCAACAGACACAGCAAGTTCATTAAAACAGTCAGCATGGAGGCCATATTGAACTTAACACGTTCTCTAATGCCTCTCTTCCCAGTCTCCTGACTGAGGTCTCCCCACTCATAACTGGGGCAGGAAAAAGAGGTTCTGATGGCTTTTTCTGGCTGGTGTACACCCCACCAGAGTCTGTCAGACAAGCCCTTATGTCTTTGTGTGTGTGTGTGTGTGTGTGTGTGTGTGTGTGTGTGTGTGGCTTGGTCATCTTGTCATCTTCCATCTTGAATCTTTCACTCACAGTGCCCAGGAAGAAAAGAGAAGCATTATTCCGCCCAAGGTATTGACTTCTCCACATTCCCACGATTTTGACAAACAATGCTAAAACACTTCTCCCATCTGAACACTGCCTTTACACTTTTCATGTACACTATCCCTTTTAATACTCACGTCACCACAACCATTCAGTTAACATGTCTTGAGAGCCTGCTTGGACCCAGCTACTTGGCATAGTCCTGAGCCTCCTAAGCAAGATATGGTCTCCAGCACTGAGTGACATCTGAGTAGTATATTCTTAGTATACTACTTTTGTGTAGTGGTGATTTGTATAGGAGGTGACTGAGGTTCAGTCTGCTGTGACTTCCCCAGGAGCACAGAGCCTGAAAGGGGCAGGACTAGGACTTGAAGTTTTCTTTTGCTCTTCTGTCTGGAATTTCATCAGTGTTTGGTTCTTTTCAGAAGTGCTAGTTTGTATCAATCTTCCCATTGACATGGAAAAAAACATCTTCATAGTCTAACCTGGATTCACAATCCACCCTGCCCCTTCAGAGCTCCTTGGGCTAGGCTTGCTCTCTCCAAACTCAGTTTCCTCATTTGAAATACAGAAACAACCACTCCTAATGCAGGGGATGCCTAGAAATGTCTGTTTCAATGTAGCCACGTAAGGAATATCTAGGACTCCATTTAGAAGGTCATTAAAAAGGAGCTTTCTGCATATAGAGCTGAGGTTCCTGGTCTCTTCTTTAGTTCTTGAACTTCTAGTAGAGTGAGAGCCTAAAATGTTACATCCTTTTCCTCTTCTCATCTTCTCAGCCCTCACAGCAGACTCTGATCCACTCCCAGTCCAATGTTCCCCAAATCTATTCCACTGCTCTGAAGAAAATCAAATGGATTATTCTCTTCTTTCATTTAGGTCACCTCCTAGGAGACTCTCCCTCCCTCATATCTGAAGATATATCTTTTCCCTTGTCACTCTCATTTCTAATCCTGCCTCCCCCATTTTAGTAGCCACCATCAGTACCAGAACCATGTTATATGCTGATTTTGCCTCCCACATGGGAATCAGAGATCAGCAATAGCAGGACTAGGAGCCAGGTATGGTGATGCACGCCTTTAATCCCAGTATTTGGAAGGCAGAGACAGAAAGTTCTCTGTGAGATTGAGGTCAGCCTGGTCTAATAGTAAGTTCCCGGCTGGCTGAGGCTACAAGGAGACCCTGTCTCCAAATACAAAAAACAAGAGTGGTCATGGTAGAGCACACTTTCAATCTCAGCACTTGGGAGGCAGAGACAGGAAAATCTCTGTGAGATTGAGGCTAGCCTAGTCAACATAGAGAGTTGCAGGCCAGCTGGTGTGACAGGGAGACCCTGCCTCAAACTCCCGACCCCCCTGCAAAAGAGTAGGACTTGGTTAGTTACATGGTGTAAGGTGCTTAGAGTAGTGCTAGGTTTGCAGAAGGGGCTTAGTCAGTGTGTTAGGAGTAAACAAACTGAAGGAAAGACTGTCCTCCACTATGTGGTCTCTAAACATTCTTGTGGTGGGCTTGCTTAGGCCCCAGAGAGCTGCTATTATTATTATTATTATTATTATTATTATTATTTATTTTGGTCTTTTTGAGACAAGGTCTCCCTCTAGTTCCAACAAACCTGGAATTTACCATGTAGACCAGGCTGGACTTGATTTCTCAGAGATCTGCCTGCCTTTGCCTCCCAAGCACTGGGATTAAAGATGTGTACCACCACACCCAGGGGAGAGAATGTAGGCACTGAGGGGAAGCCACAAAGGGGAAAGCTTCTCTAAGAGAGAACCTTCTGAGGATGAAGGGGTTTGGTGTAGGCTATGAGCAGCAAGACAACCAAGGTGTATGAAGAGGCAAGGAGGGGGCCTGGAAGACCAGTGAGGCTCAGGGAGAACTAGAGCAGGGTTCTAGCCATTTCCTGGGAAGCAGAGGCTCTAGGAGGCAGGGGGTGATTTAGGTAGGTCTGGAGTTAGGGAATGAGCAACAGGGCTCCTTCCAAAATGTTGGCTTGCTTCTCCCCAGGTGCAGAAATGCCTTCAACAATTCAAGGTGACGAGGAAACAGCTACAGCAGATCCAAGTCAGCCTTCTGCGTTCCATGGAGCAGGCACTGATGGAACAGAACAATCCTGCTCCTGCTGTCCGGATGTTGCCCACATATGTAGGGTCCACACCACATGGCACTGGTGAGTAGCATAGACTAGGATGGATTGCCAGGCATAGAAAAGGGTATCCTGATTTGGGGGTAGGGGAAGTTCCCTATCTCTATCTACCATCTCTAAGATTCCTGTACCTGGACATCTCAGGCCTTGTAAGTTCTCTTTGGGAGGCAGGTGGCTCTGGTCTTGTCAGCAGTATGCCTTCCTATGACCTGTTTGCCCTCTAGAGCAAGGAGACTTCCTAGTGCTGGAGCTGGGGGCTACCGGGGCCTCACTGCGTGTGTTATGGGTTACTCTGACGGGCACTGAAGAACATAGGGTAGAGCCCAGGAGCCAGGAATTTGTGATCCCCCAAGAGGTGGTACTGGGTTCGGGCCAGCAGGTGAGCAGTCACTGCCCATCCTCAGGGCTTGGGACATGGTTGGGTGACTGGAGCTCAGGTAGGCTGAGCTAAGTACTCACTTTGTTCCCATAGCTCTTTGACTTTGCTGCCTGCTGCCTGTCTGAATTCCTGGATGCACACCCTGTGGGCAATCAGGATTTGAAGCTTGGGTTCAGTTTCTCCTTCCCTTGTCACCAGACAGGCTTGGACAAGGTGAGATGGAGGGGACATGGGTGAAATGGGTGGAAAGTGGCTGTAGCCCCTCTAAAGATCATTGGAAAAGTAACCCTAATTTTCTGCCCCCAGAGCACCCTTATTTCCTGGACAAAAGGTTTTAAGTGCAGTGGTGTGGAAGGCCATGATGTAGTCCAGTTGCTAAGAGATGCCATTCAGAGGCAAGGGGTGAGTAGAAATTAGGGTGGTGAGAGACCTGCTTGCCTGGGCTTGGCATCTGTTTGCCATGCCTGTACTTTTGGAAAGCCCTGCTTTCCTTTCCTTTGCACAACTTTTATCCAGTTTAACCATGGGGTAAATGCTGCTTTCATTACAAACAATGAAAATGAGGCTAAGAAAGATTCAAATAAAATGTTTAGGTCTTAGGGGATGGGGCAAGAAGATGGACAGGACATTTGAAAAGTCTGTGATCCTGTCCTCAAGATCCTCATATTCTAGAAGGGAAAGAATTCTAATAGAAAAAGCATCCCTTGGCTGAGGATGTAGCTCAGTTGATAGAGTGTTTGCCTAGCATGCATGAAATCCTGGGTTTGATCCCGAGACACATATAAAAAAACAGGTATTGTGGCCAATACACCTGTAACACCAGTACTCAGGAGTTGGAGGCAGGAGAATCAGAAGTTCAAGGTCATCCTCAGATGCAAAGAGAGCTCAAGGCCAGCCTAAGCTAGAGAACGTATCTCCAGAAAAAGAAAAGAAAAATAAAGATTGCCCCTGTGTTTTGATAGCTCTGGTAGCAGCAGTGGCTGCAGGGGCCTGAAGGAGCAGTTCACCTGGTGCTTTAGCTGAGGCTTAGGAAGAAGATCTAACCTCAGAGAAACACACATGCCCACATCTGGATGCTGGAGAAGTGCAGGTCCTTTTGGACTAATTCAAGGATACCGATTAGAAGTCAGACTAGAAAGAAAACTTGGGGTGCCAGCAGGGTGTGGGTGAGCCAAATGTGAAACAATCTTCAAGGAGACAGTCAGTTTTGAGACCCATCATTCTGGTTCTGTGGGGAGAACTGGAGATGATAGCTTAAGGGGAGGAGACCCTGGGACCATGAAAGCATGAGTTGGAGGAGGGGGATGGGAGGAGAACCTATAGTATGGGGCCCTGGGTGTATGCGTGGGGCATGCAGACATTTCATGGATTTTGGATATCTCCTTTAAAGCAAAAGCCCTAGCTATGCCTATTCCCCAGGTTTCCCACTCTGGACACCCAGGCTGGCTCTGACTTCTTGTCTTCTCCATTGTCTAGACCTACAATATTGATGTTGTTGCTGTGGTGAATGACACAGTGGGCACCATGATGGGCTGTGAGCTGGGAGCTGGACCATGTGAGGTTGGGCTTATTGTAGGTAAGCCATGGGCCTTCTGTGAGAAAGTGTGGCAGCTGCCTGGTGGGCAGGCTCTCACAGAGTCCTCCCTGCTAGACACTGGCACCAATGCATGCTACATGGAGGAGGCACGGCATGTGGCAGCACTGGATGAGGACCGTGGCCGCACCTGTGTCAGCATCGAATGGGGCTCCTTCAATGATGATGGGGCCCTGGGGCCAGTAATGACCATCTTCGACCATGCCCTGGATTATGAGTCTCTGAATCCTGGTGCCCAGAGGTGGCCTGGCGGGTTCCCTGACTCTGCTCTAGGCCTTATCATATCATTGCTCTGACCCACCTCTTCTGCTCTTGGGTCCTTAGGCTTCTCCCTGTTCCTCTGAGGATCTTTTGCTTGCCCCTGGGAGTCCCAGGCTGGACTCAAAGAAGAAAGTCCTCAAGGTTCTAGAACCCAGACTTTTCAATCCTTGGTCTTTCTGGTCAGACCTGGCAGGTTGGAGATTGGGAGCTGGGAATAGCTGAGCCAGTTGTTCCCTGCCTTCCTGGGTCCTACTGCTTTTCCGGGAGGCCCCTGAATGGCACCCAAGACAGAGAGGGTGTCAGTTGTCTTCTGGGAGACCATTTGCTTTTAGAGCCAGTCTGGAGACCCTGAAGAAAGCCCCCCTAATTCCTCTTTGGGGGCTCAAGTGGGCTGAGGGTTTAAGGGGGGGGGCTTTGTCCAGCTACCCTTCCCACTTGCAGGTTTGAGAAGATGATTGGGGGTTTGTACTTGGGTGAACTGGTACGGCTGGTGCTGGCTCACTTGGCCCAGCATGGGGTCCTCTTTGGTGGCTGCACCTCTCCTGCCTTGCTGAGCCGAGGCAGCATCCTCCTGGAGCATGTGGTGGAGATGGAGGAGTGAGTAGGGGAGGCAGGCAACTTAGACAAGGGACAAACGGAGTCCCTGCTTGGGAAGGGGAAGGTATGCTGTCCCCAAGGTAGTCATGGGGCTTTGGTGGTATGGGGAACTATTAGGTTGCCTAAGCTCCAAATCAATACCCTCTGTCCTCCCAACCTCCAGCCCCTTTACTGGAGCAGCCCATGTCCATGCAGTCCTGCAGGACTTGGATCTGAGCCCACAAGCCTCAGATGCCGAACTTGTGCAGCATGTGTGTGCAGCTGTGTGCACACGGGCTGCCCAGCTCTGTGCAGCTGCTCTGGCTGCAGTCCTGTCCCGTCTCCAGCACAGCAGGGAGCAGCAGACACTGCAGGTGGCTGTGGCCACTGGAGGGCAAGTGTTTGAAGTGCACCCCAGGTATGGTGAAAACAGGATCCTACATGAGCAGGTAGCATGAATGTGTGCTTAAATTATGCACACCCAGAGGACATTCTGGGATCATGTGTGCAAGCTGGTGGCTATGAATGGTAGTGGAGTGGGTCAGACTAGGCTGTGGGAGGCCAAGAGGCATCCGAGGAGAGACAAATGTTTCTTTTAGTGTGTGCCAGGGAGAAAGGCACTGAGGGCAGTGGATACATGGTTGGTACACAGAATAAACTAAGGATTGAATTTATTTAAAATGATAGGATCTAGGTAGGGCTGCAGCAGGCTGTAGGGTTCAGCTGCCAAGCTGAGTGCACCTGATGTGTTTGTGTAGGTTCCGCAGCATCCTGAAGGAGATGGTAATGCTCTTGGTTCCAGAATGTGATGTCTCCTTTATCCCGGCTGTGGATGGTGGTGGCCAGGGTGTGGCCATGGTGACTGCTGTGGCTGCCCGCCTGGCTGCCCACAGGCACCTCCTGGAGGAGACCCTGGCACCATTTCAGTTGAACTGTCAGCAGCTGATAGTGGTTCAGGCACAGATGCGGGAAGCCATGATCAGAGGGCTCCAAGGAGAGGCCTCCTCCCTCCGCATGCTGCCCACTTATGTACGAGCCACACCTGATGGCAGTGGTGAGCACCTGGTCTGAGTATGGGACTGAGTTGTGGGCTCCTGGGGGCTTCACAGGGTTTGCTAGGGCTGGAACCACCATTTCTCTCCTGGCACTGAGGGTCTCTGTCTCACAGAACGAGGTGACTTCTTGGCTTTGGACCTGGGGGGCACCAACTTCCGGGTCCTTTTGGTACGTGTGGCCAAGGGCAGTGTGCAGATTACCAACCAGGTCTACTCCATCCCTGAGTGTGTGGCTCAGGGCTCTGGACAAGAGGTACTCAAAACTTGGGCCCCAGTGTCAGAGGTGGAGAAGGTGGAGTAGAGCCTATCCTTGACATGCCCTGTCCTGCAGCTCTTTGATCATATTGTGGATTGCATCGTGGACTTCCAGCAGAGGCAGGGCCTGAGTGGACAGAGCCTCCCCCTGGGTTTCACCTTCTCCTTTCCATGCAAGCAGCTTGGCCTAGACCAGGTGAGGGAATGACAGCTGGGAAAAGTGATTCCTGAGGGCCTCCAATTCACATATCCTTCATAGAATGGGCAGGAGGCTGTGGAAAGGGCTGAGTAAGGGGGCAGCATTGTTGGGCCAAGTCTATTTGCAACCTGGCTCTCCCAGACATGGTGTACCTACAGTTAGGGTAGGAGGCATTTAGGAACAGCACAGGCCCAGGCTGGTGCTGACTAGAAGATACATTACCTATTTCAGCCATGGTTCTGGTATGCTGCCATGGAGGTCCTGTAGGAAGTAGCATTTGTTCCTTTCTCTAGAAGGGCCTTGAGGACTCATGCTCCTTAGCCTGGCACAATGCTTCCTGCCTGATCTAGGTGGCAGAGTGACAGTTATATGTTAAACATGCTCAGGACACAGCATATCCTTCAACAGGTACAACAGACTTCTCAGCCTGGCATAGGAACAGCAGGTTCTAGGCCTCTTGTCCAAGCTCGCAGGAAAATTAACACCCCAGTTTCTGTTTGGAAACCTCTTCTGCTGAGGAGCTTGCTGCCCCTGAAAGTTTCTTTTGCATCCTTAGATGCCATCAAAAAGTTCAAATTTATTTACCCACCAGCCTACATGCATTCTTTCCACCCTGTGCTCCTGTTTTGACCTCTGAACCACAGCTGTTTTCTCTGCTTCCTTTTCACCATGGTCCTTTGGATGGTGCAGTTAGCTGGCATTTCCCCACTAGTGTATTCAGCTCCAGGCTGAGCAAACTTGCTTCCTTTGACTATTCCTTATGAGATGTGAGAGGTGTACAAATCTATGCATGCAAGGAGCATGGTCTAATTTTTTTTGGTAACTGAATCGAACTTGTGTTGACCTATATTCTTGCTAGGGATAAAGCTCAGTGGTAGAGCATCTATATGTGTGAAGCTCTGCAGACTGCCATTTTCCCTTGACAGCTGTGGTCTTATTCCCATTCCCCCACCCTTTCCCTCAGAAGTGCACTAAGAAAAAGAACAGTCCTATTTCAGGTACTTATGCCCCTGTTACTAAGTCTAGGTGCTCACAATAAAGATGTCCGTCTTACCCTCTCGTATCCTGGCCTGGTATCTGACTTTTCCACTTGCCCTTTACCTTTATCAGGAATAACTGAGGGAATCTTTCATTGAAATGGGAGCACCAACTCTGAGGGTTCTTTGTTTTGCAGTGACTCTTAGAATTTCTCTTTGAAAGGGTGGGATTTACTGACATTTGATCCTCTAAAGTTTTGCCATCCTCTTTCCTACATGCAACACTCATTCTACAAGCTCTGTTCATTTTTAACCCAATTACAAAGGGCCATTCCTTCTGGCCAAGCATCTTAAAATGGCCAGACCTTCAGACTGCCTGAGCATTCTGGAACTAATAATGGAAGACATAGGTCAAATTGTTGTTAATAGGTTCCTTCACACTGAAAGCCTCCTAGGGAGTTGAGAGGGGGCAGAAACCAAGGCCTTCTATCATAGGGCAAAGAGGGCAAGGAATCCTGTATGGGGAGGAAGAAATTGTACACTTCTAATGGGATACAGGTTTGGGGAGGTAGAGTGAGATTTGTCTGCTTGATCTCATCCCAGGGCATCCTCCTGAACTGGACTAAGGGTTTCAATGCATCAGGTTGTGAGGGCCAAGATGTGGTATGTCTATTACGGGAAGCCATCGGGCGCAGACAGGTAGGAGCCTATCTCCAGGGGTGGTTTGGGGGATATGGCACGCATAGAGGGGAGCAAAGTGTCATTTGCTTCCTTGAGGGGAGCAAAGGGGTCCTCTACAATAGAGACCTCTGAGTCCAGTGCTGGTTGCCATGACAACTATGTTGCCCAGCAACTAGCAGCATCCTTTTGTATGCAGGCAGTAGAGCTGAATGTGGTTGCCATTGTCAATGACACGGTGGGAACCATGATGTCCTGTGGCTATGATGATCCTCACTGTGAGATGGGCCTCATTGTCGGTAAGGAGGGCCCTGCCCTTTGTGTTCTGACTGCCTAATTTAAAAAAGAAATTATTATTTTTATTTTATGTGTATTGCCTGCATATAATTTAAGTATACCCGTGTTGTCCAATGTCGGTGGAGACCAGAAGAGGGCATCGGATCACCTGCAACTGGAGTTATGGATTGTTGTTAGCCTCCATGTGGGTGCTGGGAATTGAACCTGGGTCCTCTGAAAGAGCAGCCGGTGCTGCTTAACCACTGAACCATCTCTCCAGCCCTTCCTACTGCCTGATATTTCATTGCCTCCTCTTGACTGCTCAGGTTGGACATTCTTCTCACCTTGGAGATTCCTATGTGACCCAACTGGGCTTGTGAATACTGTCCTGAGCTAGGAGTCTGGAGCTGGGTGTTTAGTCTAGCTTGGCTACTGACTTAAAGTCATTGAATCTTTCTGAGCCTGTTTGTAAACCATTTTGTATATGACCCTCTGCTTAGACTCATACAGACTTGGGTAGAAAGACTAGCTTTGCCACTTCCTCCGATATGACCTTGGGCAAGTCACTAGAGCCTCAGCTTCTTCATCTTAAGATACAGATAACAATGCCTCCCTCAAGCAGTCAAGAGGATGAAATGAGAAGGGCCAGGTATGGCTCATGGTTATATACTCAGTGTTTGAAATTGCGGACGGGGTCGCAGACCAATGAGTTATGAGGATTCTTTAGATAATCTAAGAGTTTAAGACTATATTATTTACCTTGGGGATACCTGGAAGCTGGATAAAGGGGACAAGAAGGCTTGTAAAAGAAGGACTCTTATCTTCTTGGATCATCCAGAGGGGATTAAGCCCAGAAGAGCCTCTGGCAGTTAAAGCTGACTGACTCCACACACAAGGGCTGACAGGTTATGATCTGAAAGGAACCAGTTCTGGGACAAGTGAGACTTTGAAATGGAGCCTTTAAGCGATAGGGATTTGATAGGTAGAGAAGGAAGGCTCTCAAGTTCCTTGAGCCACCAGTCTCTTGGAGTGTATATGATGGCCTCTCATGGATGGGAGATTTTTGAACACAGGGTCTGAGTCTGATAGGTACTTGGGAGATGTGTACCCCCATGTAGCTGTGTACACTATTAGATGAATTCCAGGTAGGGTTATTAAGGAACACATTGCTCAGAGCTGGAACCTTGTAGAGAGAAGGAGGAAATGCCTTTACCCAGAATGTACAGCCTGTCAATGTCTGTGTGCTTCCTGACTTTAAAGCCTCAAATATCATTTCCTCTATGTAGCTTTTCCTAATCTTATAGAAAAAAAACTCACCCTGTGTTCTAGTTCTCGTGTTTCTATTGGGACCCATGGAAGTACTATCAGAAATGTCCACTTGTTGTCCAACTTTCTGACCAGATTGGAGGGTCTCTTGTGTCAATAGTTCTATGTCTGCAGCTCCTGGACCCACAACCAGTTAGTTTGACTAAATGCCTACTATGCCAATCAAAAAGCTTCAGCCTTTTACTAACAGAGAGTGGGACCATCACATATCTCCCCAGGGGAATGGCACGATTGACAGACATCATAGGAGCACTTTGGGATAGCATGGCAGATGCACTGATGTTGGTACTAGTAGGGGAGGTAGGCAAAGTAGGGGAAGCTCCAAGGGCTTGGTGTTGACAGGCTCTGTACAGGACTGCCAGGAAGGAAGACCAGGACAAGGGATGGGCTTTGACTAGGGGGAGATAGAGATGGAGCCTGAATTTTGTTGTTTTGGTGTGGGAATGGCCAGAAGGGCATTGTCTGCATCAGTAAACATTCCTCCCCACCTCTGGCCTGTCTGCAGGAACTGGCACCAATGCCTGCTACATGGAGGAGCTCCGGAATGTGGCAAGTGTGGCTGGGGATTCTGGCTACATGTGCATCAATATGGAGTGGGGTGCCTTTGGGGATGATGGCTCACTGAGCATGCTCAGCACCTGTTTTGATGCTAGTGTGGACCAGGCATCCATCAATCCGGGCAAGCAGAGGTATGGCCTAGGCGTAGGCGGTGGTGAAGGGCAGTAGTCTATACTGGTGAGAATAGCTGATGGAGTTGTCTGCCTCATTTGGACACACATACACCTTCATACAGGTTTGAGAAGATGATCAGTGGCATGTACCTGGGGGAGATCGTCCGCCATATCCTCTTGCATTTAACCAGCCTTGGAGTTCTCTTCCAGGGCCAGCAGACCCAGTGCCTTCAGACCAGGGACATCTTCAAAACCAAGTTTCTTTCTGAGATTGAAAGGTGCCTACATTGCAAAGGAGTCTTATCTGTCACTGTGGGGGGAATGCTGTTGGTAGTAGAAGGAACCACTCTGGAGGATGAAGGGGGAGAAGTCTTGAGAAAGGAATAACTAATACAAGGACCTTACCATTCTGGTTCTATTTCTTCCTGGCTCCAGTGACAGCCTGGCCCTGCGGCAGGTCCGAGCCATCCTGGAGGATCTAGGTCTGACCCTGACCTCCGACGATGCCCTAATGGTCCTAGAGGTATGCCAAGCTGTGTCCCGGAGGGCTGCCCAACTCTGTGGAGCAGGTGTGGCTGCTGTAGTGGAAAAGATACGAGAGAACAGAGGCCTGGAGGAGCTAACCGTGTCTGTGGGAGTGGATGGGACCCTCTACAAGCTTCACCCCCAGTGAGTCTTGGTGAAAGGTTCAGGCAGGGTGGCATGGCCAGGTAAGCCTGGCTAGCCTGGCCTCACCTCAGCCCCTTCCTGTCATAGCTTCTCTAGCCTGGTATCAGCGACAGTGAGGAAACTGGCCCCTCATTGCACAGTCACCTTCTTGCAGTCAGAAGATGGGTCTGGCAAAGGTGCAGCTTTGGTCACTGCTGTTGCCTGTCGCCTTGCCCAGACAACCCGTGTCTGAGGAAATCTCCAGGAATCATGGGCTCTTAGCCTGAACTTCACTGGACTAGAGCCTGAGCCTGAGCCTGGCCTGACCTTCTGGCAGGCCTAGCCACATACAACTCCCCAAAGAGCTCGTGTGTGACCCCTTATGACCATCTGCCCTTATAATCTGGCTTTCTCTGAGAGAAGTAACACTCTGATTAGCAATATATATATATAATTTATTTACATTCACGTCCGCTAAAATCCCTACGTGCCCCAGCAGCCGGGCAAGGCTGTGTACATAAGGCCAAGTGTAAGTGCATGAATGCACTTAAGACAGAGTCAGGACACAAGCTTAACACAACAGGCCCACACAGGGGCACTGGCCAGCCCCAGGAACGGGCATGCCACGGCACACACACTTGCCATTGTACAGCCCAGGACTCCCATTGCATATTCACACGCCCCGCTGAGCAGGGCACCTCGAGGCTGGGGGGCAGGGAGAGGATCAGGAAGGAGCCATTGGGTGTCCCTGGGTGATTGGGAGAAGGGCAGCATGTGAGAGGCAGATGTGTACTGACACCAGGTGTGAGAGACGTGAGCAGCCTCCAGGTGCACAGCATGAGATGTGTGTGGTGGGGGAGGGTCCTGCATGTCCTGGGAGAGGGGTGCGTGTGAGATGAGCCCACGAGGCATGCATGATCACATGCCCGTGTGGTGGTTGTGTGCCTGAATCCAGGGATCAGCCCCCATACAGCTGGGGCCCTTAGTCCCCCAGGCTTGAAGCCAGGCCCCTCAGGTAAGCCCCTACCCAGCAGGCACAGAAATGTTTGCATAAGGCCCACCTCAGGCAGGAGCATGGGGGCCATGTCCCAAGCCCAGCATGTGTGTGCATGCTGTGTGTATGCGGGGCCCCTGGCAAGGGACAGGAGGAGAGGTAGCATCACACGCATATACACACACATACAGGTGGGCTGGGCCCAGCCCAGGCTCCAGGCACTATCCACTCCAGGCCCTGAGGCCAGAGCAGAGTGTGATCAGGTGGCTATGCCAACCTGGCCAGGCAGGCCATGGAGGGGGTGGGAGTTTGGGCAGGGTCTGAAGGACCAGCATTAAGGGACAACTTCAGCCAAGAGGGGGCCTATCCAAGCAGCTCTCCCTGGGTGGGGGTAGGGCCCCTGTCCGGCTTTTGCCTGTCCCTGGCAGATGCCAAAGCTGGTGAGAGTGTAGGCATTACTGGCCTGGCTGGCCTCAGCACTCGGCCTCTGACACTGTGAAGAGGCCAGCATCTGGCTGGCCTAGTCCAGCCACAGCTGCTGCCAGCTGGCCGAGGTTGCCGTTGGGGAAGTGCCGTGCCTCCCACAGGTTGAGGATCATGGCTGTGGGGCTGGGCTTGGCGGCAAAGAAGCTAAGATGGCTGTAAAGAAGAGGTAACCCATCAGTGGCCTAGCCTCACCCCAGGCTGCCCTATCATGTCCCCAGCCTAACCAAGGGTAGGCATCCCCTCAACCAAATGCACCGACCACTCTGGCACTAATGAATGTGGCACAGGCAGCCCCAGTAGGTTTCCTGTCTGCCCCACCTGCCCTACCAGCTTCTACCTGCCCATCTCCCACCCACCTGTCCAGGTGGAGTTTCTGGGCTAGAGTTCGCCAGTCGGCACCCCGGCTGCAGGGTGGGTCCAAGCTGGTAATGATCTTCTGCCGAATGAGGAAGGGGATCTTGAAGGCACTGGGGCCCACCAGGGCCGGGACCCCCCCTTCACTCTCCAGAGCCAGCAGCTCAGCAAACCTCGTGTCCTGGAGGGTAGAAGACATGTAGGAGGTGCCAGTTAGAACTCTGCCCACTTGCTGCCTCTATTGGGACAGCTTCCAGACCATCCCAAACAGTGGGGGCAGCAGGGGCACTGTGACTTCTCAGGCTTCTCCCTTACACATCAGGGCCCTGCTCTTTGGGTCTCAGAGGGGCAGTGATCTGCCTTAAGTCACAGTCAGTGTCAGAGGAAGACTCTGGTCTCACCCCCTCCCTCTCCACCTCTCACTCTCTCTGTTGACCATTCAGTGCTCATTGCTCTTTTATCACTGCCTGCCTGTCCCCCCAAGCCCCACTCCCCAGTTCCTGCTGCTAAAAAGTGCCCTTTCCTATCCTACTGCTTGTCAAACTCTCCTGCTCATCCTTTGGGCCCAGGGCAAAGTCTCTCCTTGGGAAGGCCCTGGAGGGCCCCAAGCCAACTCTGCCTCCTCCTTCCTGTGCTCCCTCAGCCTGCTTGTTCCCCTTCTCATGTCTCATTTGCATCTGCCCCCCCGTCTCCAGAAACTTGGAAAAAGCTACCTAGTGGTTTCTAGAAGGAAGAGTAGATGAGGCTGCTGGCAGCTTGGTAGCTAGACCCAGGGGTTGGAGCATTTCTGGGATGGTTGGTGGAGGAAGCACATCAACTTCTTGCCCACCTTGGTGATGTTGAAGTTGATGTTGAAGCTCTGCCCATCACCCTCCACCTGCCACACCCACACCTTGCAGGCCAGGTCACTGGTGCTAGGGCTGATACGCTCCAAGGTGAAGGTACAGTGCAGGTACTGTTGAGTGCCATTCCAGATATGATAAAAGGGGATCTCCTGGGGAGGGGGATAAAGAGGCGGCATCAAGTGTGCCCATCACCAGCCCCTGGAGCCCTGGCAATGGGTCTGGGCCTCACCTGGTAGCTAACAAGGAGCTTGCTCTTCCACAGGGAGCTGGGCACATCGTGGATGGACAGACGTAGGTTATGGTAACTGTCTTTGAAGTGTAGGACACGAGGTTCCTGGATCAGTTGTCCACCCAGCTGCTTCTCCAGCTGTACCACTTCCTGTAGTGCCCAGATGGTCAGCAAGACCTGGGGGTGGGAGTGTCCCTCCCTGCTGCCCCCAAGACAAGAGGGTCTCCATGCTAGGGGTAGGTAGTCAGCCAGCAGGACTGTGTGTGTGGCAGTACCTTGAGTGCATCGTGAGTGTCATGTAGACAGTACACACGGATGTTGTACTCCAGAGAGGTACAGGCCACAGGAGCAAACAGCAGGAGCTTGAGGCGCTTGGTGGCAGCCACGCTGAGGGCCTCTCCCACCAGGGCAAAGCGGCCTAGCTGCTCGGTGAAGACATAGCAGGCACCGGCCTCCAGCTGGCAGTAGTAGAGATGGGAGGGGGCATCTTCTCCAAGGTGCAGCACATCCTGTGGGCAGGGCCTAATGGGTCAACTCCTGACCAGCATAGGAGTCTTCACGGCCTTTGGGCCAATCTTCATTCAGAGAGTGGCCAAAGCCAGGACAGGGGTTGGGCTGTGGCTCAGGACCACATGGCTGCTAAAAGCTAAGACGAAAGAGTAGGAGGGGTGGGTCCCACTCTGAGGCTAGTGCTTCGGTTGGATGGTGTTGGGTGCCGTTCCCTACTCACCTCCCAACTGCCCTCACAGGACTGCTTTTTGAGGCGCAGGCTCCAGCTGTCAGGGCTGGGCTCTCCACAGTGGTCCATGGCAAGGATGACTGGCCGGGTGAGCAGAACTCCCGGGGGCCCACAGCTAACGATGGGACTCAGCAGGGTCTGACAGCCAGCTAGGGGCAACCTCAAGTGGGGAAATACGGGTGGGGAGGGAAAGGTGTCAGTGGTTTGTCCTAAGAACTGGAGGGCTAGTAGCTGGACCTTGGGCAGGGCAGCTGGCACCCCAGGATAAGGAACTGCAGAGCACAGTGAGATTAGGTAGGGCTCAACTCCTGTCCTCCCTCCCAGGCCAGAGCAGGCACGACAGTACTAGGCAAGGGGTGTTCCAGTGACACAAGGCAGCAGGTGGGTGCCCTCCCGGCCCCACAGCAGGTCCTGGGCCCACACCTCACATCCTCTGGCTTGTGCAGCGTGAGGTAGATCTCGTAGATCTTTCCTCTGGGAATTGCGTCTGGGGGGATGAGGAGGCTGATTCCTGTTGACAGCAGATGGGACAGAGTTTATCACTGCAGACACCTAATACCCTATGAACCAGCCAGATCCTTGAATTTTCCCTTGGTCAGCCTAGTCTAGGGACAGATTTGCTGCAAGGACTACCATACTGCTCCACCACCCACATGGGGCATGAGGCTAAGTCAGGGAGACTCTTAAGAACTGCTGAGGTAACTCAGTTGAAAAGAAAACATGTTTAGTTAGCCCCACACAGAAAACTATAGAACAGAAGGTGCCCATTGTGCTGTCCCTACCTCTCCTGTTACCCAAATGCCCTAGTTTGTTTCTTCATTGCTGTGACAAAATATGCTGACCAATACTAACTTGGGGAGGAAAAGGTTTATTTGGCTTACATCTCCCAGGTCACAGTTCATCAGGGAGCCCAAGGTAGGAACTCAGGGCAGGAACCTGGAGGCAGGAGCTAGAGCACAGGCCATGGAGGAACACTGCTCACTGGCTTGCTCCGCTGGCCCCTGCTCAGCCTGCTTTCTTATGCAACATAGGCCCACCTGCCCAGGGATGGTAACACCCACAGTGGGCTGGGCCCTCTCATGTCACTCAACAATCAAGAAGATGCCCCGTGAACATGGCCACAGGCCAGTCCAATGAAGGCAGTTGCCCAATTGAGGCTCCTTCAACCCAGGTGTGTCAAGTTGACACTAAAGCTATCCAGCACACCAAATGACAGTATTTCGGACAAGGGCACTTTCTGCTTAAAACCTTCCTTGCCTATCAGGCCTGCCATTTAAGGCTCTTTATGTCTGGTCCACAGTCATTCTAGCAGTACCTTAGCCCTACCTGCGCTATACTCATCAGTTTCAAAACCACTGTCCTCCAGCCCTGCTCAAGTTTTCCACTCTCTATTAGTCCTGCCCCATCTTCAGACTATTTCCTACTACTGTCTCTGTCCTTGAGGGTGGAGATGGGTCTGTAACAGCCCTCAAGGTTTGGGATCCATGGCCCAGATGCCCTCCCATCCCACTGATGGTGTGTCTGCTCCAGTATCTTTCGGGAAGTTATCAGGGTGTGTGGAAAGGGGAGAGGTTCAGGGTGGATACAGCAAGGACAGGGGCTGGGGAATTGTGGAAGGCAAGGTGAGACCCTGATCCAAGGACAGGATGCCCCTACATCTGGAAAGGTCTCCTAGATAGCACAGGAAAAAGGGAAACACTCTAGATTTTATCCCGAAAGCACATAGATGCAGCTTTTCAGTGTAGGTGAGCTGGAATACCAGGACAGTCAAGTGCTATGTAAGGACATACAACAAACTAAATACATGATGGTAGT